GATTCTCCTGCCCGTGTTCCCATAAAACTCGCTTTATTTCCACGCACTTATGAATGACATAACACATTAAGGTGTGCAAGCGGTCGCACTGCCCACGAAAGGTACCCAATTTTCACGTAATCGCACAGCGAGCCGTAGATGAACCCCATACGGAGGGAGAGGGTTTGTGGCCTTGAGGAAAACGAGCTCAGCATATTAGAATGAAGCCGTGCTTTCAGTGAGGTCGTGACAAAGCGATCCACTTTGCAGGGGTCACCCCAAGGTGTTGTCTCGTTTTTTTTGTAGTTGAAATTTTTGACTTCAGGCTGTTCCCATTGAGAGTCATCCGTTCTCAACGCCTGTGCTTGCTCTCGATCAAATCAAGAGTGCTGGTGTTCCCGTCACAAGGCAGATGACTCCTTATTTACAGGTTATTTTCGTGAAAGTCACGTTTACAGAAGCTTCCAGGAGTTTCCTTGCTTCAGTTGACTGATAGATGAATTCAATTTGTAACTTGTATTTCGTTCTAGATGGATCCTTCGATGTTCATCTCTTCACAACCACAATACATCATGCCTGACGGTGGAACTGGATCTTCAGGCAAAGGAAAATTCGAATTCGCACTTGGACATATTGGATGGGCTGTAGGTAGTGGTTTCGCCGTGGGATCGATCAGAGGAGGTCTTGGAGAGCTAATGAATCCAGACACTAGAAAATTGGTATGATTGATTCATTTTCAATTTTTTTTCACGCTAATGGGGACCCTTTAGTGCCTAACCTTTCCCTAGATGTCGCTTTACTGTACTTCATGAGTTGATTTTAGGTGGGGAAACCATGGATGACTCGTATGGTTAACGCCACGGTTAAGCACGGATCAGGCTATGCTCAACCAGCAGGTGAGAATTTTCCTACTTGTCGACTACACGTTTTTACGAAGCGTTCTGAAGCTGCGTTCATACTTTGTGTCAGCGTTTTGAGCGTTCCGAGAGTCCATCAGTGTTCTGAGCGTTCGCCAGTTTTCTCTGCATCTTCCTGCGCTTTCAGCGTCTAGGATAGTATAGGTATCGATTTAGCATTTGGTCGTCAGCGTTTCGAGCGCCCAGCAGCACTTTTAGCGTTTCGAGCGCGCTAGAAAACATGGGTGTCGATTATCGCTGAAAACGATGGCGGACGCTCAAAACGCTGGATCGACACGCATACTGTCCTAGTCGCTGAAAGGCTGCCGCATAGTGTGAACGTACATACTCTGTGCCATTGAAGAGTAGCTCTATATTCTATCTTCTGAAATGGCTTCATTTTAGCAAAATTTAGATGAATGAAGTGAGTGATTAATATAGGATCTTATTGCAAAGGAGTACTTTAGGTGCTGTCGTTTTTATGTATTCCGCGCTTGACCCGCCCGCTTTAAATATCTTCTCCGTCCGTTCAGCAGAAGATGAACTGGCCGCGCAGAACAGTCTCGGTCTGTGCCCTTCAGTGCCATCTATCGCCAGTCCGCATGGATTAAGAGCAAGTGGTATCGGTATGTCAGATGGTTTCATTTCGTTTTGCAGCTTTTGAAATGCCGAAAAAAAATCTCGCTGAAATATTTGTTCTTTAAGGTGCTCTTGTCGGATTAGCATTAGCGGCCGCTTGGACGATAGCGAATCCGGATAGCCGGCAACGAATTTCCGAAATATTTGCTTGATTCGTTAACAGAATTTTCCCCTTGATCCATTCTTATGGTAGTGTTACGTCAATTCACATTTTTACTACTGATTCTATTCTGTCAATAATGATTGTTTTAAGAGGAATGCGTAAAAGATCGTCATACATCATTCCTTAGAGTTTCCTTAGAATACTTACCTAGCCCTCATAGGTTACCTTGTTGCCCTTTAGCCTGAGTATTATCGAGTTTGTATGGCTCAAAGGATCAATATACCTATTTTTAGTTTGTTGCGACACTGACGCTCAGGAACAGTTTAATTTCGCAATACCAATGATGTCCTGAATTTTTATCACGTATTTAGACTGCTTCAACTGCTAAATCGAATTTAAATACAAGTCTCGGGACCTTCTGAGGAGTGGGAGGCGTCTTTTCTATAGAGGAAGTAAAAGTTTTATGGTCCCTGCCTTTTTCAGTCGTCTCCACTAGTTGACGCCCACAGTTAACACGCCGTTCTGAGAGTTCATCAGAGATTCCACCCTACGGCATGTTAAAATTATTCTTTGAAAATTTGCTAAATGTAGACTATGACGAAAGGAAGCATACCGAAGAAGACAATCAAGAATTATGAAGGACGGAGGATCTTCGTATTTTTCTCAAAGCTCGAATAAACGCGCGTGGACATTTGCCCGATATAGGTCTGCCACGCCCCGGAAGCCGTGAGTCCTTACAGTGTCTTGGCCTTTCGATCCAATGGCTCATCCAAACAAGATTTTTGAGTGGTGATACTGAAAATAGCGACAATCTGCAAACATACAGTCTTGTTCGCGCGGAGCCTGGCCGTGCAACAGGAATGGCTTATGCCGGTAGCAGCGGTTGTAGCTACCTGCTTCAAGAATTCAAGAAAATAGGAAGCCAAGAAACTAACGAAATGCGCCGTAAATTTCAGATTTCACGGTCATGTGTTCATCAGGAATTCATATCAATCTGGTCATTGAAAGCGACCAAGTTCCTGAGCTGTTAAGAGTACAGCAAACCCCTCGAAGACTGCTGTGCGGAAATCATGGAAAGAGTGGAGGGCTTCCGGTATCTGAGAAACGGTCTAGAGTGTTATTATTTACCAGGGCACTAAACGTCCGAATAAACTCGGCTCGGATGAAATGGAGGGAGTCCACTGGTATCCTCAGCGACAAGTAGTGCTTCAGGGCGCTCAAGGACAAGATGTACCGCGGCGTACGTGAGTCTCGATCGCTGCATACACGAGTGGCTGACCAGTAGACAGAGCCGAACTCCATTTCCGTTGAAGACGCGCTGGAAGATCGGCCTGCACTAGACTCGTTCTAATAGAGCAAGCGCGTAGTGCGCGGTATTCGCCACCGACCACCGAACCAACGTGACTAGCTGCGGCACGTCGACCATCTCTCTCTTGCGTCTCTTAAGCCGACCAGCTCGGTCGTGCCGATCAACTAACTAGGATTTTCTCCCCCCCCACAAATGTGCCGCTCTTCTTAAGAAAGCTTCCACACTAAAATTTCTTTGAAGCATAAGCTTCGACGCCGCTAGGTCGAACAGTGCGATTACGTACCGGGCCCATAGGATGTCAAATCGTAGTTTCTCTTCGACATTCCATTCCCCACGAGATAGGGAATACTCGGGGATTTCGCTTCAGAGGGAATGCGAAATCCATTCGGCGCAAAGTTGAATTGGTTCTTCCTCAGCGTGACCCTCTTCCTCTGGCATCTTAATTTATCAAATCCTTAAGCACTAGCGTCAAGAGGTACCTTCCAACATTGTAAATCGACGGGAGAATAAAGCTGAACAGTTGTATGCTGGGCGCAGCACCTGGAGAAGCGTCGGATCAGGCGATCCCCTCCGTCCACCCAAATTTCCCATTCCGGTACGACACCCTACCCCATCTTTCCTACCATCTTCCTGAATTGTCCCAACTCGCTACACTTTTCCCAATTTCTATAAAGATTCTCTAGCTTTCTGTCAAATCAGCAAATAAAACAGAATAATTTCTCTTCACTAAAAACACCAGCTGTAATAAGAGGAAACGGGTGGGCGAAGGTCAACAATCGCAACCCAGCATCCTCTCGCGCTTCCGAAAAATAACTTCTCAGGCAAAACAACATTACGACCCCCGTCGACCAGAACCGCTCCAACCTCTGCCCCCCTTCCCCCGCCTCGTCCGACGGAATTCCCAGCCGATGGCTGTACTCACAATGTCGCAGGCTCTTTACTCGTCGTCGGCGGCGTCACATCTTCTAAGACGTAGTGCTGGACTGCAGACCTTCACTGCGATACTGCACTACCTCCTTCTTGAGACTTTCGAATGATTCCGGGTATGTCCGATGATGACGACTTGAAGAAGATCTGCAGATGGTCAACGACCTTGTTGAGTGTTTGTCACTGACGGTACTTGACTAATTAGTGAAGAGCATCAGCCGACACCTATTCAGCACATGTTTGCCGCTGACCGATCTTGTCTTGAACATGACGTACGTCACCTTGGAAAATGATTATCGCCCGACGCAACATGTGATAGTACGCCTGATTTAACACCGAGACGTGCCGGCGAGATGGTTATCGAAGAGCGGGATTAGGAGCCAGTTAGCCACAAGACTCAATCAGGCAGATCTTTTTTCGAGCTAAAGCGAGCGAAGATCAATTTTTGCCTATGGTTTGGTGGAGGACGATTTCATCAGTGTTGTCCAGAATGCTGTATCATGCATTCTACCTCTATCAAAAGTTGCGGAATCATCCAGATAGGTATTAAGCTGTTCAGTGACCCAGTACCGTGCACGTTTCCATCCTCTGAGAAGATTCACACTACTAACTTTCAGAGATCGAGGGATTTGTTGGTCTAGACAGGAAAGGGCATGCCGTACGTTGCTGAACCCCAACTAGGGGTCCTATTAGGTCACTGGAGGTTGTATTTGCCTCCAAGGGAAATGTTTTCGGTGGGGGACTTTTCTCGGTTCCTCTTTTTTCAAGTGGGCCATATATCCCCGCTTGGCGACAGCTTATTGAAAAAAATTAGAGGGCTTTCAAAAAAAAAAAACTACGGAAGAGTGGTAGGAATGTATGAATTCGAAATTTAGCAAGATGATATATAGGATGAGGAATGACTATGGAGGTCGTACGGGATGGGAGACCTTGAGAGGGAATCGCGTTCAGCAAAAATTGCTCGTCATAGGACGATGTCCCCTGGGACAGGATGGCCGCGTTCGTGCTTTTCTAATCTTTTTTTGCATATTTTCATGGACACATCCAGGGAATCCGGAAAAACGGGAAAGCCAAAAAAGCTCAAAACTGTGGAGCTCGGGAGACGGGCAAGAGAATCGTAATTGCCGCTTCGTCGCGCGCGGCAATGGGCGCGACGTTTCCTTGATTTGCACTACCCTTTCGATTGGAGCATCGGATTTCATGTAGACAAGGACATGGTAGACACTTATGTCTATTTTTGGTCACACATTGTCTATTCTCGACCAATACCACCTGAAATCGTCGTCATTAGCGGGCGCGACGTCGCACGCGACGCCCACTGGCGCGACGAATTACGATTCTCTTGCCACACAGCCATGGAGCTCCAGGCGAAGGTATTTCCTGTACACGAACATGCACCTTATATCTCAGAAAATAGGGTAAGACTAATCCAGCTTACTGCAGGTATTCTTTTGCTGAAGCCCGAGGGCTTAGAAAAACAATCTATCGGCTTATGTACGTTTTGGCGGAACCGCCTTCATCAGGACCTGAAACAGCAGCTATAATCAGCAACTTACAGCTGCATACAACGATTTTGCTCCGACTTCTGTTCTGAGCCCGTACCTATGGTGGTGCTTTTTTATTTTCAGCCATTTTTCAAGAGCGTTGCCTTCTTTTTCCGCTGGAGATACCTCAGCGTACGACGTGCCGCGTCCGCAGTGGGAAGATGGTGAAGAGCGGAGCCCCATAGTTGGGACTAAGAAAACCAGGCGCGCACATACCGTATCCTAAAATCCAGCAAAGCACATTTCATGGCTGCTTTGCTATCTCATCACTTTCATCTAGCATTGCCTATTCTTTTTTGCTTCCGATTCCATCTATCTTACTGCAGAATACAGCCTATTGGACTTTTTTTGTAAGATATAATCCATAAACACACTGGAGACTACGAATGGCTCATATGTGTCGCATCAGCCGAAAAAAACAAAACTGCTCACCGCTTCTCCCCATATCTGTCCGCCATGGATGGATAAGCGTGAGGATCATGGATGACGTAATACATGAATGAATGTGGTCTACAAATAAGCGCGCCGCTCAGCGCCGGATTATCGTCGCTTTGGCCACAAGAGAGATACCGTCTCAAGTAGTGCTTTACAGTAATGGATAATCTCCCTGCTTGAGCAGGTGGCTCTTTACTGGCGATGAGAGCGTCAAAAGGACTCCAGCCGAGCAATAGGCAAACGCCACAGAAGCCCTTATCTGGATATACCATTAGCTGAACATGCTCGTATTCTTTGAAGGCTTGCGCATTGCTCACGTTCTGAGGTCTCTTACTTTTGGCCTAGTCTGCAGGTTTTGGCTCCGTCAACGATGAAGGAGCATAGGACATCCACTCAGCGAAGCCATGATTGTCCATAGTTGGTTGTCCGGTAAACTGAATCCTTATTTTAGACGTCTAAGCGACTGCTCATTCTAATAGTTCGTGAGCCGCCTGCTAGCGAGCTGGTTCATGCTTCCACACGTTACCCGCATTTCGAAGGAATGGTAATTTTTAGTGAGGTGTGTCAAATGCAACTGGCGTAAACTTTGGCAGACAGCTAAGCGAACTGTTCGATACCAAGGGTCAAGAACGGAACTACACTCGTATTTCCCAGAAAGAATCATAACTATACCAGTGACCTAAAAATAATAATGTATAAGGTATCTGTGTGATTGATAACCTTCGTCCTCCTTCCTCCTTTCGTCCTCAATCCTTCTTTTCCTTCCTGACTTCTCTCTCCCCTCTTCCTTATTCTTCTCCCCTCAAAGGGCTCAGTCAGGAGATCGGATCTGAC